TCGGATCAAGCGCACCATAGTGGCAAAAGTCAAACGAGTCAATAATCCTCATGGTCTGGGTATCGAAGGTACTTGTCCCTCCACCATCGCGTTCACCAAATGAGCTCACGGGCGAATTTCTGCAGGTGTCATCTTTCGACAGCAACAGATGCAGTCGCTTCCCCAGGGAAAACGATATATCTGTCGCGTAACATCGGAGTATCGAGAGGAAATGGTTATCACCATGCTCCCGTACCTAGCCAACCTCATCCACCGCGTTAAAGTCTCTCTACACGACAACACTTACGCCCGCATCCACGGTCCCTGGAAGGAGTGGGAGGTTGTTATTTGGGATGATCGGTTGAATTTTCGTGAGTGGCAATGAACTGCAAATGAACTGTGCAGCTTAATTTGAAACTTAAATTCTCCAAGGTTGTAGCATTGGTCGAATTTACAGCCAGCACGAAACGTTTGAAGTCTTCAAGAAAATGTGGCCCGGCCTTTTCGAGACCATTGCGCGCATTACTGATGCCGAAGTGAAATTCAAATTCATTGATGGCGAAGGGCTCACGGCAATTCTGGTCGACGGAAGTAAGCCCCAGGCAAATGCCCTGGGCGAGTATCTGGTGTCTCGAAACGGTCCGCACCTCAGCGAGATTCACGAGAAGAACCCGAAGCTAATCTTACCCAACTGTCTTCGAACATGTGTCACTCATGTTAACCGGTGGGTTACCTCTTCCGGCGTGCTTCCCGAATCTCATTCCCCAACAGCAAGTTCACGAAAATGGCCCTAGTTGTGCCCGATGAGCCGATGAGCAGAATTCGACGCTGCCTATTTATCAAGACTCAGCGCGAGCTGGACGACTTCATTCAATGGTGCAAAGATTCTGAATACAAAGTTGTCAGAGGTAAGCATGAACTTCAATGTGCGGGAGGTTGCTTCAGTTTTTTATAATGAAAACATCTCAGATTGGATTGCGGACAAGGAGTCCATTCCATGGTTCTTCCCCTCCATCAACGAGTTCCTATCGAAGATACCAGAAGAAGACTGGTAACTCACTCCCGGCGATACGAATCTCAACGAAAGTGCTCACCCGTATACGAATCAGCACACGGGGACAAATCTCTCATTACTTGAGGCAATTGATCGGTATGTGATTTATTTTGTACCTGTTAAACCTCAGTGGCTTAAAATTTCCAGCGCTTATGAAATGGACCTTCAAGTTGAGGCGAAGCACTGCGCCATGGAGGAAAGTTGTGTACTAGTCAATCACCGCAACACCAAGCCCCAGCGCGACCGTAATAATGCCTCCCACCGAACTACAGCCCATCATCAGGCCCTTGAGCGTTCCGCAGCTCGAGACGATCGAGGATTGTCTTCAGCAGTCGGCCGCGACCACGAAGGAGCTTCGTGAACAGCGCAAAGCCCTCAAACTGGCAAGCGGGGTCAAGAAGACAAAGCGGACGGGTGAGAAAGCCAGAGAAATCTTACCAAATGCGGACGAGTTTGCTGGACTTTCCGACGCTGAGAACATCCAGTCTTCGCCTGTCCGCCCAGCGTTACACCTCTGTGACGACACGACTCAGGTGCGAGCCAACCTTGAGGTTGAGCTTGAGGCGGGCTTAGAGCCGCTGTTCCCCATACGGTATAGCACACCTTATCTAGAGCTGGGTGGAGACCTTTTAGATTATATTCCTACTTGAATACATGCTTTCTACTCCTATAACTCACTGGAGCTCGTGTCGGATTTGATCATGTGTTCGCGTTGCCGGGCCGGCGACTCTGGTCGAAGCGACGCGGCAGGAAAGGCGGGAAAGAGGCGGGAGGTTTAACACCGGCCAGTAGAAGTGGAAGTGGTCGTGTGGAAGTGGAGACACAGTAGAAGTCACTTCCACTTCCACCCGAGGCGACTTCTACTTCCACTGGAGTCCAAATCGGGCGATCACACGGCGGACAATGAGTCAACACCTAGCCGGCAGGTAGCACGCATCACGGCACGCAGAGCTGAATCAACACCTAGATAAATCCGACGATTTGACGCGTCCGGATTGTCTGCGGGCACGATGCAGCCACGCGTTCTCGGGAGTTTCCGGGAGGCAAACGATCTCCATTCTTGATTTTCGTCCTCCGCTCAATTCTGATTCAAATATTCTGAAGAATGGATCAAAATTCACGCAACAAGATAGGGAATAGACAGTGTGCAAAATCTTGAGGCTATATGGGAAAGAGCTCAGTGAAAACACCTCCGAAATGCAATAAGCCCACGGTTCACATTGGTTTAAAGCAGGGATTCATATGTAAGTATGTTTAAGCATAAGGTCTTACCTCCAACAACTTTCAGGATTTTTTTCAGGCTGAATTGAAGGCAAGAAGCCCTGCTATTGGAGCAGATCAGTAGGAGCGTGACAGTTGAAACTATGCCAGGCGCTGCCGGGAGCTCTGATGTGTCACACTCGCGGTAACGCACCAGTAAACTTGGTGCTTCACTCCTTGTACAAGCTTAAAAAAAATATTCACAAAACACTATGATTATTCCTCACATCCCTACCAACTTATAGGGGGATTGGGTGGTTCAACTCACCGCAATGTTGAATTTCCCATGTTCAACTTGGCTTTTTGCTATGTTTTCAGGTGTTCTGACTCAAATATTTGTCCCAGTCTTGTACTCCTTTACTCCAAGACAGTTTAGCTTCATTTTACGAAATATTCAGGCAGAAGCTGAGTCCAGAAGAATAAAACTATTGGTTCCCATCATTCATCATCCGGAAACCCCCGAGAACGCGTGGCTGCATCGTGCCCGTGGGAAAGTCCGGACGCGTCAAAGCGTCGGATTTATCGAGGTGTTGCTTCAGCTCTGCGTGCCGTGACGCGTGCTACCTGCCGGCTAGGTGTTGACTGATTGTCCGCCGTGTCAGTAGAAGTGAAGTGACTTCCACTTCTACTACTTTGGTCATTCCTCCGCAAAGTAGCGCTAAGTAATGGTAGCCGAATGGAGCCTTAAGTATCCCATCTCAACTCAGCTGCACATATTGAAATGCACCCATCCCGATCGCATGCCGGCATGCCGGACACCGCAGGGCCGTGTGTGGGTCTGTGTGGGTGCACCATCCATTGCACATGTGTGCATCTTACGCTACTTCCGGCTGCGCCAAGCTGGTATGAATCGACCGAAATATATCGCGCCACATGTTTTCGTGCTCTAAACGTCCTGTATGCTTGGTCAGGACTCAGCACCATACACCAAATTCTAGAAAATGCTCAAGGTGATGATAGTTGTTGTGATCAAAAGACGGATATGTGTCCGCGGTGGGCGGTTGGCGCTTGTGAAGTCCAAAGACATCGTTGAGGGAAGGACTGGTGACATGAGAATAGAATGGAAGAGGAAGAGGCGGGAGAAACAATGGAAGGGAGGAAGGAAGAGAGAGAGAAAATGAAGATTAGGAAGAGGAACTACATGCGCCCACACCGTAATGTTCATCAGATGAATTATTTAGGCGGAAATGAGATTAGGAAGAGGACCTGCATGCACCCACACTGTAATGTTCGTCAGTTGAGTTATGTAGGCGGCAATGGAAGAAGCGGATCAAGGTATTCAGAGCCATTGGAGAATTTTACGGGCCTCCGTGACTGGAAGTAAGTATTATCCCGCTGTCTGACGTAAATTACAGAGGTTGAAGTTCAAGTTGAATTATTAGCCTGAGATGCCCGAACAGCCGAAAATCAATTGTTGGCTTCAGCGATTTTAGTTCGCGTCTTAAATTGAAAGTTTGGGAGGCAGTGGTGTCAAAAGAGACTTCTGGATAAAACAGCAGACACATGTATTCTGGGATGTGAAACCGGCTGCGGCATGCGCAGGGGTGAAAGCAATCCATGTATTGAGGATATGACCCCAGGGGCCTGGGGAGTCTTCTGCTACAGTGATCAAAGGGCCAACACAATAATACCGGGTCATTGTTGCCCTAAGGAGGGTATACCCACAGTAAACTTTAACCATAACAAGCCCGAGATGCCCGAAGCAGCACTGCTTGGGTACACATCTCAAGGTTTGGTCAAGGGGGGATCGGGATTAAAATTCCGGACGGGGGGAGGGGGGGGGGGGGGGGGGGGGGTCTGAGCGGGGCCGAAAAAAACTTCTTACTATAAGTTATGGGAGGGAAGGAAAGGGCTGGCAGAGGCATGGTAGAGCCTCTAGTGAGTAAAAAACCTCAAGTTCTGCTTCCTACTTACCTCAGGAGGTGTTGAAACAATAATTCCACTCAAGTTCAACCAAAAGTGGTCCGTGGGCGTCCCGGGATGAGGTTCAGCAAAAATTTACAGCTTCACTTGAAGCCTTTGTAGCACTCTAAATAGCTTTAGGAGCCATGGGATGTACTTCAAACATTAAAAACAAGAGGTATCGGGACTACGAAGAAGGTTCAGTAGATAGCGGGAAATCCGGCGGGAGCGGCCCGGCGCTAGGGGTGGGAAACACCTTCCCTATATAGAAGGAGGGGGGGGGGGAGGGGGGGTCCAGCCAAGGTTGAAATTTTTTTATCGACCCACCTTCCGAGTTTCGAATCCCGATCCCCCCTTGGGTTTGGTACTTTCAGCCTTCTCATACTCTTACAGAAAGTCGCAAGCATTCTCCCAGTAGAGGAGTAAGAAAATGAAAAAAAGACTCCTCATGACTGCGCAGACCCAACCCCGGACCGAACGGGGGTCTCCTGCTCAAGCGCGCTGGATCCAAGTTGCCTTGAGCACCTGAACTGACCAACTGCACTTAGTATCAGGTCGTTGTCCCAACCCATATTGAAGGTGACCGTATGATACGTAACCAACCTACCCAGAATTCAACTCGGGAGATTGCCTTGAAGATGTTTGAACCACACTAGATAAATATTGTGAGGACTCTGCTTCTTCAGACCGCCGGGTTTGTAGTAGAATGTGAAGAGGAATGTGTTAAGCCGAGGATCAAGAAGGAGAAATCGGAAGAGAAAGAAAGAGAAAAGAAAGAAAAAAGAAAAACAAGCGCCATGCAATGTGACCCGACCCCGCATCGAACCAGGGCCTTCTGCTTGTTACCTTTGTACCAGACGCACTACCCACTGTGCTACCAGATCTTGACACCTTCCATCCTCAAAGTATCAACATGTACCTATTTCCTTAAGCTTGAGTCAATTCGTATGTTTCTGTTGAAAACCGGAAAAATTCATCCCTTAGGCTTCACAGTTTCTTGCATAACCATAACTTGAGACTGGATGAATAACACAACGCGGTTCGATGGTCGACGAAGGATTCAGAGGGAGAAGAAGAAAAGGAGTCGAGACAAAAAGGTGGGCGAAGAAATGGATGACCCGACCCCGGATCGAACAGGGGCCTCCTGCCGACAACCAGACCTCAAATGTACCTTTAGCATACGCACTAACCAACTGTGCCATCGGGTCGTTGGCAATCTTGGGACTGAGGGGAATGTGTACCCCACCCGCCTGGGTGCTACTCACAACTCGCTCTGAAACAGGTGGTATTGGTCTTGCTCATGCCTCCACTATAGATTACATGGAAGCTGACCTCCTGGACTTGTGTAGTGTCCATAAGAAAGTGCAGTATGGATGGGTCTTGGTATGCATATGGATGGAATGGAGCGAAGAAGTATGAATTCCACCGATATTTTCTTTGGTTGAAAACAAAAGAAAAATCCTTCTTCAAGAGAACGAGTGACCCGACCCCGCATTGAACGAGGGCCTTCTGCTCACTACCTCTGTACCTCCACGCACTACCCACCGTGCTACCAGATCGTGACACCCTCTCATCTTCAAAGTACTAATTTCCTTCAATTCAGCTGTTTGTGTTGAAAACTGGAAACATTCATCCCTTAACGTTAACTTAACCTTCACAGTTTCTTGCATAAAAAACTTGAAGTGGATGAATAAAACAACACCGGTCGATGGAGGAAGAAGAAGAAAAAAGGTCAAGGAGTCGAGACAAAAATGTCAGTCAAAGGTGTACGACCCGACCCCGGATCGAACGGGGGCCTCCTGCTGAACGCAAATTCAGATGCATCTTTAGCAGACGTGTGCCATCGGGTCGTTGCCAGTCTTGGGAATAAGGGTGATATGTGCCTCACCCGCCTGGGTACTACTCACAACTCGCTCTGAAACACGCCCGAGGTCTTGCTCTTGCATCCACTGTAGCTTGCATGAAAGTTGGCCTCCTGGGCTTTTGTAGTGTCCATAGGAAAGCGCAGCATGGATGGAATGGAGCCAAGCAGTAAAAAGTACAAAGTGCGAATTCGACCGAGCAAATTTTTGTGGTTGAAAAAAAAAAAAAAACCTTTTTCAACCAAGCAAATGACTCGACCCCGGATCGAACGGGGGCCTTCTGCGCACAAACAAGGGTTGGAAACAAAATGGGCAGACGCACTAACCAGCTGTGCCATCGGGTCGACATTCACATATTGTGGTAAGTAGGTTAATGACTCACTCACCTCCTCCATGCCGGATGAAATCGAGCAAACAAATGGCGTCCTCTCCTGCGTCCTCCGTTGACCCCATCGTTGTGCCTGGGTCATCAGTGAAGGAAGTTCTGAAGGGAAGTGATTGAGAGTCGTTCTAGTTGGTTGGAACGTGGTTCTAGGCCCGAGGCAAGGGAGGAACCGTTCGATTGGTCTAATTAGATTTCCCCGAAAGGAAGGTCACGTGTTTCTGCCGACTCGCTCCTCGCGGCTTGCTCAACTGCTGGTAAAACCGCAATAAAAATACCCTTTGTGGTCACAATCCATACCCAGTGAGATTCCGACTAAGATATCCCTACTTGCCATACAAAGGCACTATTTTTTCCAAGCATTCCTCAGGCAGGAAATCTATAGAAAGTCTACTCTTTCCTCCGGTATTTCTACCTGGAATGTGAAGGGATGAGCCATAGTAACACATTCTAGAGCCTTTGGACGCTTTCCTTGGGCTTTGCGGCTTGTAATATAGCAAGCCGAGGGTGATTTATGCTTGCACTGCGCTCCCTGTACCTTCCATGTCATCGGAGTTTGAAAGCTCCTGTTGGAGCACGGCATGAGCAAGAGTAATGTTGTGGGGCCAATTCAGGACTTCCCCGATGCAATTTGCTGTTTTATTGAATAGTTAAAGGTTACCTGTAGTCCTCATTCGGCTTTTACCATTTATTTACCCCATTCCTAAATAAATATTGTTGACTTCTCCAACACGTTATTTCCTGGGGAACTTTTCATTCCTGAAATACCTGTTGAGTGTTTTATCAGCCTTGATTATATTTCTTCATGTCGAATAGTGCTCAGGTTTGTAGGCTCAGAATACGGCAGGTTCGGCTCAACTCTCGGCAGGACGGCCGTCGGCTATCACCAATCGAACTATTACTCCAGGCAAGGAAGATGGAGAAGAAGGGAAATACGCTCGTATCGGCACGGCACGGCGGGTGCGATGCGTTCGGCGTCGGGTGCGGTGGATAAACAAAGAAAGGGAGTCGAAGATGAAGCCACAAAGCCTTCGGAAGGAACCGTGAAGCAGCTGAGTTGGGCGCGGCCGGAGGCAGATTGGCATCTTACTTACATGAGCATCGTCATAGTTGTGAGGCGGTGTTGGATGAGCGGAGGCTTTTGCTTTCTGTGCCTGGAAGACTTCAACCAAGTTCAACTTCAACAGAAGACACGGATGCACACCTCAGACGACCCTCTCGACTCCGTCCTGCGCCCCCCGCCAGACGAGACACCGAGCAGGCAGCGGTGCGGGAGGCGCGGGAGACGGAGGCACGGCGGGTCAGTGCGGCCATCGACGCGGATATATTATCAAGGCGGAAAGACAGGCGCGCAGGAAGAAGCGCATCGTGCGTCTGCTGCTCTTGGGCCAGAGCGAGAGCGGGAAGAGCACCACCTTGAGGCGTGCGTCCGTCCTTGTGTCCCCCAATTGTGCTAATTTATACCAGAATTCCAACGCCTCTACACGCCCACCCCCTTCCGCGAAGAGCGCATCCTCTGGCGCGCAGTTATCCAGCTCAACGTCGTCCGCTCCATCCGCACCATCCTCGAGGCCCTCGAGCCCCCAAACTCAATCTCTGCCAGCTCAAGAGCGCCCGCACACCCGCCGGCCCTGGCAGCGCCGCGTCTGCCTCCACGCTCGCGCTGGCCGCTCCCAATGCGTACACCGCGCACGCCGGGCCGTCCTCCCCCTCCTACCACGGTGCAGACCCCTACGACGCGGGGTACAACAGCGCCGGCGGGTACGCCTCCCCCGGCTGCGCCGACTTTGGCGGCACCTCCGTCCCTGTGTTCCGCAACGGCGTCGGCGACTACGCGGCGGGTCCCAGCGGCGCACTAGCGTATCACTACCAGCTCCAACAGCAGATGCAGCACGCGCAGGCGCAATCGCAGTCGCGCTTCGCCAACGCGCCCCCGCCGATACCCAACGGCGTCCGCTCGAGCTCGCCGCCTGGTGCAAACGGGAGCGGTAACACCATCCCCCTCGACGCGCTCAAGCTCGCGCTGCTCCCCCTGCGGCACGTCGAGGCGCTGCTCATCGCGCGGCTCGTCCCGACGGCCGCGGGGGAGGAGGAGCCCGCGTATCTGCCGGGGTCGACGCTGGCTTCGACGTCGACGGGGGAGCCCGGAGATCTTCGCGTGGCCGGGAGGGAGGTGGAAGGGTTCGGGTGCGGGTGCGTTTTCTTCTTCTTCTCGCTTTTTTTTTCTGCTCCCTTTCGCGCATTGCATTTTTGCCCCGTCTCCCCTTCTCTTCTGCTTCTGCCTCCTCCGCCCCGCCTTCCCTCGCTAACCCTCCCCCAGGCCGCCGCCGCCGCACGCGCTCCCCTCCCCCTCCTCTGCCTCCCCCCCTCCTTCGGACGCCGCAGACGCCCAGATCCAGCCAACGCTGCACGCGTGCTTCCCCGCCATGCACGCGCTGTGGGCGGACCCCGGCGTGCGCGAGGTGCTGCGCACGCGCAAGGTGCGCGTGGAGGAGGGGCCGGGGTTGTGAGTCGGTTTTGTTTGTTTTGGTGGTTTTGGTTTGGGGGGTGTGCGGGATGGGGTGGGGTTGTGGGGTTGCGTTGCTGCTGGGTGAGGGTGGGGGGCAAGAAGCGGCCGCGCGCGGGACGAGGTCGTGACGCGGACGCGCGGGGAGCCGTGCTTGCGTTACTGCTGGGTGGGAGGTGTGCGGGGTGGGTTGTGGGGGCAAGAAGCGGCGGGGTGTGCGGGGAGGGGGCAAGAAGCAGCCGCGCGGGTGGGATGAGGTTGCGCGCCGCCCGCCGCGCGCGTTTATCGGACGAGTTGCCCCGGACGAGGACGAGCGGGGAACCGTACTCGTGCCTGTGCCTGTGCGGGGTGTACTTACTGCGCTTGTGCTTGTGCTGCCCTCTCTCCTCTGTCCTTTCTTCCTCCTTCCTCCTTTCTTCCATCGCCCCGCTTTGAAACGGTTGTGGGTTATGGGGGGTAAGAAGCGGCCGCGCGGGCGGGACGAGGTTGTGCGCGGGCGGGATGGCGCTGGAGCCGCGCGCGTTTGTTGGACGAGTTGCCCGGGACGCGGACTCTCGGGGAGCCGTGCTTGTCCTTGTGCTTGTGCGGGGTGTACCGCGCACCTGTACTACCCAACCTCCTTCCTCCTTTCTTCCTTCTTCCTCCTTCCTTCCTTCCCTCACCCCGCTCTGAACCGCCCCACAATACACATACTGACGACGCAAAACCAAAAAATAGGTTCCTCGACGACCTCGAGCGCGTAACGGGCCCGAGATATCTGCCGACGGATGGTGCGTGTTCTTTTGCTTGTGCTTTTCCTTGTTTCTTGTTTCTTCTCGGCGCTTTCTCCCCCTGCTCTCCCCCTACTCTCGCCCGCTCTCTCTCCTCGCCCGCTCCCCGCTCTTATCGCCCGCTCCTTCCCTCCCTCGTCATCGCCCTCAGTTCCCTCATCGTCGACCTCATGCCGATACTCACTCCGTTCCCCACAGACGACGTCCTCCGCGCGCGCCTCAAGACCGTCGGGTGTCCGAGTACACGTTCGAGATGGAGGTGCGTCCCTCTCCGCCCCTGTTTATTCTTCACTCTGTTTGTTCGCTCTGTTTCGAGAGCGCGCTTGGGCTTTTGCTTTCTTCGGGGGCGTGCGTCCGCAGTGTCCACTCCCGCCTGCCCGAGTCGCGCTCCTCCCCCCTCGAATCATTTTTTTCAAATGAATAAATAAACAAACACACAAGGAAGCTGACACTGACCCATCCGCGCAGGTCTCCACGGGCCGCGAAACAGGCACCGAGTGGCGCATCGTCGACGTTGGGGGGAGTCGGAGTCGGGTGCGTTGTGGTCTTTCTTTTGCTTTTGTCTTTTGTCTTGGCTTGAGGTGTCCGGGATCTCGCGCTCTGTCTGCTCTCGCTTGAAGAGAAGATGGCAGACAACGGTGTGTGCGGCGTTGCCGCCGGCGCCGGCGCCCGCACCCTCCGCTCATGC